AGAATGCATAAAAAAATGCACCTTTCTTCCAGAATCCAAGTGGCGTATGGACTCTTATGATTGGTCCAACTCTTAATATCTTGCTCCAACATCTCTGTTTCCTCACCCATATGTCAAATGCAAGTATGCAATGGATTTCTTGTAAAAAGCTAGTCTTTCTGCATGAAACAACCATCCATCCCATCTAAAAGTAGTAGAGAATGAGAGTTGTTATCATATAACCCAATAGTCACAGTGTATTCAGGAATAGTTCACGGTTCCCGAATTTCTTCCCATGTCAAATGAAAGAATGAATCTTTGAGAAAATTTGATATTCAGATAATAACCAGTAAAAGATTCCGTCCAATATGTATTATCCTCCATTTGATCATGGCCCATATAGTAGTGATTTGACATGAATAATCTACAATCTTCCAAAGAATTGTTACAGAGGTGGTATAAAACAGCTACTGAAAATTCATTTAATAACCTTAAGTCCAGGAGTTTTTAACAGCGGTTTTTAAAATACACAATCTATGTTTTAGAGTTTATTTTCCAACGGTTCTAACAGTTTTTTAAAATAATAAATTTACATATATGCTCAGAAAAATACCTCAACTCTAACTAGTATTTGGGAGTTTTGTTTTTCCAATTATAAGGTAAGAGTTCTTAATTTGTTTTCTACTTATTAGTATTTTATAACTTCAAATGTGATAAATGTAAGATATTTTATCTGTAATCTAGACGGAAATACAAAGAATATAATATTCTTAAACTATAAACCAGGAATCAAGAATTACCTCCAGCCATTGAAACAAACTCACGAGCAGTATTTTGGATCTTCTAAGCTCTCAAGACACTCTATTGATGGTGTATTTTTCTGTATATTCGTGTTTTTTGAGCTTAGGGACCAAAATAATATATTCATAACCAAGCTTCCATCAAGCTTTTAATGGCTGCCATAAATCCCAAACGTTTGAAAACTGAAGCGTTTGAAAACTGAAGCGTTTGAAAACTGAACAAAGGATGTGGACCATCAACTTTAAACTGATGAAAATCACGTTATTTACGTTACTCATGTAACGTAAGTTTTACAATAAAGTCTTTTTATCCTTCTTCGCCATTCTTTACAATATCTGGAATGATTGAAAAATTGTAACTCAACTTCTCCAAGAAAGTATCTAGATATGAGATTTTAATGTTTTTTTTTTTTTTTTATGATTACTTAAAATTATTTTATATTTAATATAGTTGAAGACGTGCATAATATGGTTAATTTTTTATTTTTTATTTTTTGATATAATTGTGATAATTTTATAGTGGATAGGGTATTTGTAGAATAAAATTTTAAAACCAATCAAAACACCCCAAATTGGGGTGTTTTATAAACCCTTAAAAAATATACTACACTGGTTCTAGGGAGTTTTTGAGCCAGTCAAAACCAATGCATAAAAATTCTACAAATAATAGTTTTAAAACACCTCAAAATCAGTCTAATTAAAAACTTCTTGAAACCAGTGGATACAAAACTCCCAAATAGACCCTTAGTGTTTCAGAATCCCATAAAGCTTAATTATCAAAACTACTTTATACTCATTATTCATGGGATGGGATCCTGTCCAAATCCAAAATTATTATTACGAAAAGGCTTGTCATTGGATGGAAATTCATAATTTACTTCTTCACGATTGTTAGGGGTTTGAAATTTTTTTTTTTTTTTTTTTTTTTGGTCATGGAGAGTATCTGGGTCAGCTTGGGTGTATCTTAACTAATCCCCTAACTGAGAACTCGGTAAGAACCTTAGTGATCACTCCTATTAGTGTTTGGGGGTATTCGNCCTCAGCTCTGTATATCAATGCAAAATTTGTGTCTTTGCTCTTAATTCTAAGAAGTAGGAATTTAAAAAATGAGAAGAGTGCCGTAGTTTCTTATGGTAAACTTGGTTTGCCCGAAATTACTGCCCTTCCGCATATCATTTTCTCTTTCATAGTTGCAGTTTCTCCTAGAGCTGGGCAAGGGACCAGTCCCAAACGGGCCCAGGCCTGGGCCCGTTTGGGACTGGTCCCTTGCCCAGCTCTAGGAGAAACTGCAACTATGAAAGAGAAAATGATATGCGGAAGGGCAGTAATTTCGGGCAAACCAAGTTTACCATAAGAAACTACGGCACTCTTCTCATTTTTTAAATTCCTACTTCTTAGAATTAAGAGCAAAGACACAAATTTTGCATTGATATACAGAGCTGAGGGGGGATGGAAAAAATTGCAGAACATGAAAGGGTTTGGTGAAGTTTCATAAGAGATATAAAAGAGAACGAAAACTATCAATATTTTTAATTTTTCTTTGTATCCCAAATTAAGTTTCATAAAATATTACTTCCACCCTGAAAAATCTGAAAGGAACACTATATTCTCTTTTAACTTCTAGGATCTAGATGGATCCTTTAGGTTTAATAAACTAATGACTATGATTTATACTTATCTTGAGCTTATGAATAGTTACTAAATTATCGTCTTATGATATATTTTAATACCTAAATTTTAACGATAAATTGATTTTTGCTATTTCAAATACTTCGGGAGGATTTTTTTTATTATTTATTTAATGAAACCTCATGGACATCAATGTCATTAACTAAATTATAAATTGTAAATTAAAAATGAAAAACTGGGACAAACACATACCAAATGAAATCAAACATTTATGTTTTAAAAATTTTTGTTAAATAAGAGAAGGAAAAAATTCAAAAAAAAAAAAAAAAGTTTAAATTGTAAACCATCAACTGACATGTTTATCAGTGTCTCCTAAATTCATATTCAGGACGAAACTGTAGTGTTTTCAAAACCTGAGGGACGATTCTAATTTTCCGTACCGAAAAAGAGAGCGTGGTGAGCAAAGCGAAGCAATGTAGAACAGGATGTTTGACAGCTTTTGATGTTGATAATCATAACAAAGGTCAGTGATGTGACAATACATGGTCAATCCAAATCAGGCTCTCTGAACTCTTCTCTCTTTGCCTACGTAAGACTAAGAAAATGAACGTGCAGCGATAGCTATAACAGGGGTACGAACGTAGAGGTTGAAGATGATGATGATTCTGATGAAGAGTCGTGTGTGTGTGTTGGGGGGGGTCCTGGTGAAGAAATTAAAGCTTCCCTCTTGACTTCCTTGTGTCGACGTTGAGCTTTTTCACAAAAATGGCTATGGGGGTAATTAAAGCTATGCATTTTGGGGTTTGCAATTTGTACTTTGGATGGGTGGCTGCAGCTTCACTTTATTGGGGAGGATGAGATTCAACTGTGTTTATTTATTGCTCCTCATGTAGATTTTTGGGTATATTTGTTGTGCAATCCAAGGGTTTAACATGGAACTTTAGAACAAAGTTGCCATATAGTCATCAAATTAGAACAAGCCATGTCAGCATATGTATTAATACATCAATTTAAAACTTATTTAATATAAAATATATATGAACATTTTTATTGATTTGGTTGTAAATACATCTATTGCATTTAAAAAAATCTGAGATTTGTAAGAGTTGTATTAGTGTTAGGTTTAGTAACTTTATTATAATGTTGGGTCTAGTAAGGTTTATTAAATAGGTACTGTAATGTGGTTTCTTTACCACATACTTACATAGTGATAGATTCACGTAAAACCAGTGATGAGGAACCCAGCCTAGACCGATCGGTTTAATCGGTTTGACTGAGAGTTTGAGACTCGAGGCCTTCTTCGAGCTGGGTTATCGCTTTTAACTATTCCCAAAATTTCTAATATGATCACCGACGAACGAAGGGCTATCAAGTGTCGAGGTTAAAAGAGTTTTGTGGAGTGAAGGCTAATGATTCAAGGGGTGGTGTTTGATTGTATTTTTTACGCTAGAATCAACCGGAATTTGATTGGAAAATCATCCCAATCGTGGTGGTATACACAAATCACAGCTAGCAAACAAGAGGCTATCAAGTGTCAGGGTTAGAGGGGTTATGTAAAGTGGAGGCCAGTTGTTCAGGTGGTGGTGGTGTCAGATTGAATTCTTGACGCCAGAATCAGCCAGAATTTGGTCGGAAAAATCAACACCCTAACTGTAGCAAGGGTGTGTTTGATAGAATTCAAACATATAGGGATTGACACGTATTTATTAGGGTGTGTTTGCTTGATTTTAAACTTATTTATCACAAATCAGACCACCGGTTTAACCAATCAACCCAGGACCTAGCCCCTTGGCCAGGTGACACCCTGGGTTGGGTTTCTAATCATTGCATAAAACTTGTGTAATCATAAAATGAAATTTGTAAAGTAGAATGTAAAACTTGTAAAACGACACTAATAATTATTGGATAAATAAACGTTATTGAAACGGCAACATATTTTAAATCATGAATAAATAACTTTTGATCAAAGTTTTTAATGTATATGTAAATATAGCATTTATAGCCATTGACGCAAGATAATATTTTAATGATATCACAAATTAATGCATATATATTAAGTGAATATTTCATTTAACAATCATTAATCATATTAATTATAAAGATAAAAGAGAAATATAAAATTCATCTTAGGAGAAATGCATGGGACTTTGAAACTTTAAGTTACGTACATGTGATGTAAAATTACAGTAAGAACTGTCACTAAACATTTTTCCGTATCAAAATGCTTCCTGCTAACCCCAAGAGGTTGGGGAGACGATAAAAGAAGTTTGCTCAATTCTTTCAGTTATTAGATTCAAACCTTAGGATCATCTATTAAAATAACATTGTGACTTACCTAGTCCTTTAGGCTTATAGAATATTCAATGGACCTTAGAGATTGGTTGAGATACGTGCAAATAGACTCAAACATTCCGGTTACCCAAAAAACAAATGCTTCCTGCAAAAGTACTTAACAGTGTATTCAACAAGAGCTGCATATAAATTAATATACACACAAAAATTGAAAACCAAAGATACTTGACAGAGAATGAAGAAGTATGATTGATCATTAATTTAGGGTGCGTTCCATTCTATAAATTTATATAGAGAGTGTTTCTGAATAAAGTTCTTTCTACAAAAACATTTAACAACATTTTCAGGGACGAATCTGTCAAAAATATTTACAAACCCAGTAATCTTTTTACGAAAGAATGATTCAAACATTAATATTTGGAAAAGAAAAAATAAGTATCGGGAAAAAAATACTGTGATGATAAAAGAAACCCAAAACCTTTTAGCATCCATTGCCTGTAGTTACATATTGATTGAGTGCAGAAAACCATGACCTTCGCCGCTCATTGTTCGAGACTGATCGTCTAAAATTTGATCCTGAACACCTTACCAAATGGTTATTAAGGCGGTTCCGGTCAACCGTACAAGGAACTAAAGAAGGAGTAGTTTCTGGGGCTCCCATGCAAAAACTGGAGTTGAGTTTTATTGATGGAAACTTCTGGCAACTTAAGCTGCGGAAAGAAGAACCAAGAGGCGTAGTACGGGTGCAGTGAAAATCCGGCTTGCAGAGGGCTGTTGTTAGTGAAGTGGATTCCGTTATGTCACCTGGTCCTGAACAGGTGCAAAATGCCAGGGATAAACTTGTTCTTGCAATGTCCTTGATTGGTTTCGTCTCCGGAAGCATCTCAAATGAAACTATGCCATGCCGGCAAAGAGGACAGGGAATCGAGCCAAGGGGACCTTTCGCGACAATTGAGGCACAGTTTGTAGAGCAGAGATATAAGGCACATTGTGTACAGAACTCATGATCACAACCTGCATCATAGCATTATGTATCATTGTCTCGGCTATGGAAGCATATGAGCTCGAACCAGAAAAAATAAACAACCCTGGTATACAAAGAGATCAGAGGAAAGAGAACTACTTCTAAATTCAATTGTCAGATAACACAGATTGAAAAACAGGTCAAAGATAACATCATGAACGTCAAAAATAATACATGTAACTAGACAGTTAAAACCTTCTGTTTTCCTTTTTCTTCGGGGTTGATCATTATAATTTTGATCAACTATATCTATGTTGCATTAAGGTTTCCATCAGATTTACACAAATCTAATCTGAACCAACAACAGCATCGCCAATTCTGATGTCACCACCGATTAGAGCCATCAGCTATATCACTGCCATCACCAAAAACCAGAACTGCTACTTAATAACTCACGCCACAACCAAAATATTGCCTTTGACAAAACTAAAACAACACACACCACCATTATCGTGTTCTAGTTATTCGACTCCCACCACACGGGCACTTAATTCACTTCCATCACTCACTACCATGTTATTGAAGTCCAAATTTTGTGCTTGCATTTGTGCATATGAGAAACCCAAAGCCACTTTATTCACCCCCACAGCCCCACTGTGGAGTTATGCCTAAATGCTTGTTTGTGAGTGAGCAAAAAATGTGCACATCTTTGCAAGTGCTTTTATTGGGGGCATGAACATGATAATACAATTAGACTGATACATAATATGGTCGAAATTTCATCTGTCTTCTTGCCAACAAACAAAACAAGGATATTGTCATGTGGGTAAAAATTCAAAAGAAAAAGATTTCCCATAACATACCTTCTGCTGCTACAGTGCACACTCTTTCTAAACAAACGACACAAGGATCTTGGCATGTGGGTGCAGAAGCACTACTCCTCCATCCACATTCTCTGCAAATGACAACATACAAGATAAGAACTCAATTTATCCAATGTAGAGTTGGTCGTTTCTAACTTTCTATATGCCAACAAGGACAAGGTGGTAAAGTGCACCATTCTTGCAGTTCATTAGCCTGTGTGTGCACAAATACACTAGTTAAATCTCTCCACCGCTTCCAATCATGTGAGACTCTGAGTTAGAAAATAAATATGGAAGAAACTCTCTGAAAAAGAAGATGATGAACTTATATACAATCTCAGTGTTTTCTTTTTGCATGATTTCTATTAAGATGCTACAAAACTTTTAAGAAAATTTTCACAGCCTTTTAGACAGGCCATCGAAGATGCTAATACTAATTGAGCAACTAAACCATGTGAAACTATCAAGCATTCAAAATGTTAGTGGTTTGATCAAAGCAAAAATATAAAAATATAAGGCTTATTGGCTGTGAAGACAATGGAGATGCTAATACTCATGGGGACCCAAAAAAATTCTCAAGGAAGTACTAAAAAACACGTATAAATTCAAAGGCCAAATAAATTTCAGAGGAAAATTAAAAGATTTTAAGGCTTATATGCTGGAGCGGTTAATATAAAATATAGAACAAAGCTAAATTTACTCACCTAGCGATCTTGACAATGCTCTTAAGGGGAAGAGACAGATACGGTGAAGGAAGAACCTCTAATTGATGTTCTGGCTCTGTATTTAGAATCTGCTCGAGACAACTTCTATGCCACGAACGAGCAACCATCAAAGGAGTCCATCTTGAACATTTGAAATATTACAGTGGTAAGTTAACAACTTTACATTAATCAATACATGTTAACAAGAAAGGATGGCAATCAATTCCTAGGGAAAAGAAGGAAAAAAGATTTATCTCCATAAAGTCTCCACAAAGGTGAAAAAAAAAAAAACAAAAGAGTCCCACATCCGAGAATGCCCTGCATCAGTAATTTATGAGTATAGTTCCCCCTCCTCAAAAAAGTATAATTTAAAAAAACAAATTAATTAAAAAAAAAAAAAAAAAAACTTTGAGAACTGCAGATATCAGAGTAAAACTCTGATGGAACCACCTGCTCAAATAACTCAACTCCAACACACACACACAAGAACTTATGAAAGTAAAGCTCAAGAGAATTAACTAAAGATTATTATGAAACAGAAAGAAAATAACAGTAGCAAGAAAAGGTGATTCCAGTTACTTCCAGCAATTCGAGGAGCTGGAGACCTCCCACAAAACCAATATGATTCAACTTGATACCTCCCTTATCGCACCCTAACTATTTATACCAAATACTTCCTATACTACCCTTCCATAAAAAACTTTTATTCTACATCCACATGCATGAGAATCCCATAACAAACTGAACAACCTCACCCATATCTGAACCATCCAACTCACGCCCCTTTCCCCTTAGTGCTTTACTCTTAGTGCTGCCCCTGACTTATAGACTATATTGACAAGGGGTCTATCAATACCCCCCCCAGGAGAGCCACCTTGTCCTCAAGGTGGAATTGAGGGAATTGTGTGTTGATGACGTCGAAGGACTCCCAAGTCGTTCAAAGGGGGCGATCCTGCCATTTAATGAGGACCTCTTGGTACCATCAAGAAGGGATTGTGTTTCTGGACTTTGGGGTTGAACTGTAGTTCCAACTCTTCAGTGAGAAAGGGGAAGTGGCTGGACTGGGACAGAGGTATGTATGCTGGCTTTGAGTTGGGACACATGGAACACCGGATGAATACGGGCAGTAGGAGGCAGATCTAGTTTGTACGCCGTCAGACCAATTCTGTTTAACACTTTGAATGGGCCATAGAAAGCGGGCTGAGTTTCTCATTCAGTTTCTGGCCAATGATCGGAACCTGTAGGGCTGTAGTTTTAGGTAAACCGAATCCCCGGATTAAAATGATGTCTCGGCGATGTTTATCGGCCTACGTTTCATGTGTCCTTGAGCTGATTCCAAGTGGTGTTTAAGTTAGCAATAATGGCATTGCGGGGGTGAGTTGTTGGTTCACATCTTCCACTGAGGAAGGGTAATCGATCATCTTGAGAAGGAGTGGGGGATCTCTGCCGTAGAGGGCTTAAACGGTGCATTTTTGTGGACGATGGTAAGTTGTGTTGTACCAAAACTCCGCCCAAGAGAGAAAATGGGCCATTGTTTAGGCTGGGAACTGCAGAAGCATCGCAGATAGGCTTCTATACACCTATTGACCACTTCCGTTTGGCCATCTGTTTGGGGGTGGTATGCAGAACTGAACTGAGAGAGCTCCCTGCTGCCCTGAAAATTTCCTGTCAAAATTGGCTCATAAAGAGCCGATCTCGATCTGACACGATGGACTTAGGGAACCCATGAAGCCTAACAATTTCCTCCATGAAAATCGTCGAAACTCTTTTGCATTAAATGTGGAGACAAGAGGATGAAGTGGGCGTATTTAGTGAGCCGATCAACCACCACAAGAATACTATCAAAACCTTTTGCTCGTGGTAAACGCCAATAAAATCCATGTTAAATCATCAAAAACTTGCTCCGGAATTGGTAAGGGCTGAATAGTCCAGCTGGCTTGAGGGCTGAATATTTATTGACTTGGCAGACAGTGCAAGCTTACAAACTCTTGAATATCTTGCCTCATCCCTTCCCAATACACCAATGTTGGACACCCGTTTGTATGTTTTGAAAAAACCCGAATGTCCCCACCTGGGCTAGAATGAAATTTGCCAAAAGTTTAGCTATAAACCTGGAGTTTTTTGGTAAGACAACTCTGTTTTTATACAGGAGACACCTTGCCTAAGTCTGTAGTGTGGCCGGCTGTTGGGATCAAAAGGAGATCTTGAATGATCGGTTGTAACTTGGAATCTTGGTGTGCTTCCGTGGCTAACTCACGTATTCTGTAAACTGAATGACTGAAATAGTACTCAATCTGGGCTTTCCCCTCGCCGTGATAAGGCATCTGCACTGTGTTTGTTTTGCCCGGCCAGTAGTGAATGTCGAAGGAGTATCCCATTAGTTTAGACAGCCATTTTTGTCGTTCAGGAGTTTTATTCGCTGGTCCGTGAGAAATTGTAGACTCCTTTGGTCAGTCCTGATGGTGAATCGACTGCCCAATAAGTATGGACTCCACTTAGCACTGCCAAGACAATTGCCATTAGTTCGTTCGTAGACGGATTATGTTGTGCTTGTGGTGAGAGGCCTTGCTTAGATATGCTATAGGTCTGGACTGCTGGACCAGGAGCACCCATTCCGTGACCTGAAGCGTCCGTGTGAATTTCAAAAGGGAGTGTAAAATTTGGGATGGCAAGTACGGGAACTGTAGTCATGACTTCCTTGAGTGTGTTAAATGCCTTTTGAGCTCCTTCATCCCAAGGAATGCATCCTTTTTTAGCAATTCAGTAAGTGGCTGTGCAATATTTCCATATCCTTTGACGAACCTCCGTAATACCCGGTGAGGCCTAAAAAACCCTGTAACCCTTTATATTGGTCGGCACAGGCCATGCAATATTGCTCAATTTTGCGTGGATCAGCTTCCACTCCCTGTGCTGAAATTATGTGGCCCAGGTAGTCCAGCTTTGCTGACGACAACACTTCTTTCTATTCATTACCAGCTGGTTGTCCTGTAGAATTGTAAGAGCCTGTTCAAGATGGAACACATAGAATCAAGATCAGGACTGTAAATCAAAATGTCATCGACGAAGAAACCAACACAAACTTCCTCAGAACCGGTTTAAAAATGGTATTCATCAGTGCTTGAAAGGTTGATGGTGCGTTGGTTAAACCAAATGGCATTACTAAGAACTCGTAATGGCCGTCATGAGTTCGGAAAGCAGTTTGTGGAATATCCGCCTCTTTCATCCGAATCTGATGGTAACCGCTCGGAGATCAATCTTTGAAAAAACACAGCCCCCGCTAATTATCTAACAACTCTTCGATGGTGGGTATGGGAAATTTATTGGGGATCGTTACTCATTGAGTGCTCTATAATCCACGCAAAACCTCCAGCTCCCATCTTTTTTTTTGACTAATAATACTGGGCTGGCAAAAGGACTAGTGCTAGGCTGGATGATCCTGTTACCAACATCTCTTCCACCATTTTTTCAATTTCATTTTTCTGGAAATATGGATATCTATAAGGGCGTAATATGGGTGGTCGAGCTTCTGCCTTCAGGACTATGGCATGGTCATGCTGACGGTATGGGGGTAGTTTAGTAGTTGGTCGACATTTGGTTACACTTCCAAAGACACCATACTAGGATTTGTAGGTTCCTCATCTGCTTCTGGCTCTCCTTCCACAGAACAGAATTCGATACAAAACTCTCTCCCCAGTACTGGAGTGACTTAACAGGCCCTCAGAGATACCTCCGTCTTCACCAAGGAGGGTCTCCCTGTAAGTAACCTTCTGCCTTCCCATTCGAATTTCATGTTAGGTTCTTCCAGTTGGCACAGACATCACCCAAGGAGCTCAACCAAGTCACCCTAAGACCACATCCGCACCTCCCAAATCGAAAGGAAAAAAAATCTTGTGTAATCCTGACACTTGAACTTCCAATGGTACTGCCCTCAAACTCCCTCTCCTCTCACTGTGACACCGTTACCCACCATACTCCAACTTTTTCTGTTCAATTTACAAACCCATTTTGTGTACCAATTCGAGAGAATAAATTGTGGGATGCCCACTGTCAACCAAAACAATCACTCCCACTCCTTCAATCTCCCCTTTATTTTGAGAGTTTTGTCAGAGTGTGATTCCCATGATGAATTATGGATAGTGCCAAGGGATTACCTTCAGTATTTGGCTCTCGTCATCGTCTGGAACTATTTCTCCCTTCTCTGGATTTTCTTCCCAGGCTAACAGGATCTGCAGAGATCTACTCTTACATCGGTGGTTAGGGCTGAATTTTTCGTCCAACCTAAAGCAAAGTCCCTTCTCTCTTCTGAGCTGAATATCTGCTTCTGATAGTCGACGAAAGTTCTCACTCTGGAGCTTGAAGTGGCGTGCGATGGAGGTGTTTCTTTCGGGCGCTGGATCTCGTTGACGGTAGAGGCTGTCTCCTGGGTTTTTGTTTGCGTTGAACCATGAATTGGGCGCCACTTTTCTGGACTTGGTGTGACCCAGAATAAGCTTCCCACTTATTGTTGGGCTCTAGTCAATTTGGGCTGTTCCTCTCTAATACCCAGTTTTTTTCTTCAACCCGATGGGCTGCTCCATCACTCACTCAAGTCTTTAGCCTGTATAATGCGCAAATCAGCCTGATTTCTTCTTTAAACCATTGATAAAAATTCCCATCAAACTCTCTCTCCTATTTCCTTCAACGGAGCTGTGTGAGCTTCAAATCTTCACGGTATTCTGTTACCGTCGCGAGCTGCCTGAGTGCTACTAATGCCTCATAGGTTGACCCTGAAATGATGGTCTGAACTGTCAATAGGGCCACCTTAAATCCTTCCAACCCTGGACTGGTTTTCTGGATTCCAACCATTGATCCAGTTAAGAGCTCTTCCTTCCATGCACATGGCTGCTGCCTCCACCAATCCTCTTCTAACAATTAATGGCAAAAAATCTGTCGGCCTTGAAAGTCCAACCAAACGGATCATCCCGTAAAAATGGGTTGTTCGGCTTGCGGAATCTTTTATCATCTTTCCCATTCTGATTTCGTTCACCTCCCTTATCCTGTTGGAATATTTGATTTTCTGGAGTTTTTGACAATTTCCCAGGTGACGTTTTTCCTCCCTTTCTTCCTTAGTCTCATCAGTTCTCTCATTTCTGTTAAGTACCAACACTACCCAAATCAGTTTTCATTATGCCCATGTCTTCCTTACATCCTCATCTCCTTTTCCACATTTTCCATTCTATTCTCCATTTTGGACTAACCATTACCTAACCAGGCTCTGATACCAATTTGATGGAACCACCTGCTCAAATAACTCAACTCCAACACACACACACAGAAACTATATGAAAGTAAAGCTCAAGAGAATTAACTAAAGATTATTATTGAAACAGAAAGAAAATAACAGTAGCAAGAAAAGGTGATTCCAGTCTACTTCCAGCAATTCGAGGAGCTGGAGACCTCCCACAAAACCAATATGATTCAACTTGATACCTCCCTTATCGCACCCTAACTATTTATACCCAAATACTTCCTATACTACCCTTCCATAACAACTTTTATTCTACCCATCCACATGCATGAGATCCATAACAAACTGTAACAACCTCACCCCTATTCTGTAACCATCCACACTCACGCCCCTTTCCCCTAGTGCCTTTATCTTATGCTGCCCCTTGACTTATAGACTATATTGACAGGGGGTCTATCAAACTCCTAATGCAAAACTATGTACAAAAAGCATTCACATCACACATTAGAAACGCAGATCTTCTGCCTCCTAGACACTGTCCGCCCTATTCCTCATGGGCATATTTGGGCAATATCAAAAGCACATAAAAACCAACTACCACTACATATTGAACCTTCTTACTAACACATTTGTCCAACGTATTGCAAGAAGTTCTTGAAAAAACCACAAAAAAAAAAGGGTTAAAATCATTGGACTTGATGGTTAGAATCAACCAATCAAATTTATCTTTCATGGAGTTAATGCACTCAACTAAGCCACTGAATAAAAGAAAGCAAATGAATTTAAAATTAAAACTAAAATGGCCATCACTATATGATACCAGAGAGTTCAAGGATCTGGATTTATCTCATATTTTGACGGCTTTGATCTAATTACTATTTAGGAAACCCAGCATACCACAGACAGAAAACTGGATCTATGCAAATCATCTAACATTCCATTCTCCCTCCTATCATCTACTTGCTAATACTGTCTCCTTTCTGTGCCAAGAATATTAAAACATTCTGAAATTAACAAACTCTAAAGGATATACGAGAAGCTGCAATTTCTAAGACAAGATCACTTTGTTCACAACCAATCACTTGGAGTTCACAAACCAGAAACCATGAGCAACTAAAAATGTTTTCTAATTTCGTTAGGGCACAATGAATAACTCACAAAATACTTTGCTAGAATTTCACTTGGATAAAGTTTAAAAATTAACCATCTTCCAAGCTAGTACAGCTAAACATAAGCAGTCAGAAGTTGGCATAAGTTGGCATCTCCAATAAAGATACAGCCATATGCCCATTAACAAGTGATATTGTTCCTCGAAAGTCACCATGCTGATGGCACATGGAATAACAGTCGTTATCTAATAAGTTTTCTCCATTTTAGCTAATACTAAAGTATGACAAGCACATCTTACAGTTTTTCCTTGCTGATATCCACTCATTGAAGTCAAAACTACTGCCCTTTTTAACCTATTGAATACCTCTTCCATTTCAAAAGGCTAAACTCTCAAGGTTTCAACTGAAAGGAAGTGAGGTTTCTGGGCTTAAGAGAGTCTCTCCACTGTGTAGACTACTGCTGCAGTTTAGACCTCAGCAGGTTCAAAAGTTTCTAGAGTATAAACCCAACACCTTTACCCCTTTTCCTATACACATAAAAAACACAAACTAAGCTAATCAAAATTATTAAGAAAACAAGTGGGAAAACACATTCATATGTTCATGATTTCCTGAAGTCTACTAGAATAGAAGACAAATAAACGACACTGCTGAAAGAACACCAAAGAATTGAGTCAAAACTGAAATTAAAATGTCATAAATTTTAAGTATTGCAAGCAGAGGAGACAAAAATACATACCCATTTGCATTTTCGGCAGTCAGACTGGCTCCCATGGCAATCAAAAGCTAATTCACAATAAAGACACAAATCTGAGACTTCAACAGTAATGTAAAAGCAAAATCAAAATTCAGATATTCTGTCAATTGAAAACATACTTGACAACATTGTGCATTACCACCACATGCAGCATAATGTAGCGGTGTGCTCCCAGCTCCTGCAATTGACAACAGACTTGCACTTCAATAAATAACGTGAAGTGATGCAGATAACATCATTCTGGAAGCTGGGAAGGTTAAGTAGAACTGATTATTTTAAGACATCTTCAAAGAACAGGTCAATGACTAACTTAAAGGGATGCTGTTGCTTTCTGAAAAGGTACATGCCTAAAACTTTCCGTGAAAGGTATATCATTTCAGTAAACCAATCAAATGTTCACAATCTGATAAGCAAATAGGAATGATGGGCAGAGAAAGGAGAAGGATTGGAGGATCGAGAAGAGCAATGCACAAAAAAAAATTCAGTTCAAAACAAATTTCATTAAACACCAAGTAAAAATAACAGTGCATTTGCTAAACAGATTATAGGACAAACATCGTTCCTTTGAAAGGTGGGGACAAAGGGAATAACCTATAAGATCGATTGTAGTTCCATCTTCCACAGTGACCTCACAAACAGAAGCTCCTAAGTCCAAGAGTAAATGTACGCTTTCAACATGTCCATTCAGTGCTGCCATATGAAGAGCAGTTATTCCTCCATCAGCAGTTCTACTAATTACTTCATGGAGAGCACTGGCACAATGAAAATGGTACAAAAATAAATCAAAGCAGCAAACTCGAGTATGATCACCAAAATGCAAGAGGAAATTTTAAATGGAAGTACCTTTCATTAAATTCTAAGATCGGTTCATCTTTGTTTGACTTTTTCTTTAACCTGCTCCAAACATTGGGCACACTAGGAATGTAATCTGCAAGAAGTAGCCGGATACACCGAGAATGACCATTTAAAGCAGCCAAGTGGAGTGCAGTACCCCCGTTTAGATAATCTGCTCTGTGAATCTTAGAACCAAATCCCAAAAGTTTATCATAACTTCATTTGTGAAAATCTGTTTCAAATCTAGGAAAATGGAGTCAGAGAAAATGTCTTACATTGGCTTTATAAAGAATTAAGGTCAGAACAACCTCCCAGTGACCATGTTGACAAGCCTGCATCAAAGCGGTCTGTTCACCAATATGATGAACAAAATGATGAGCAAATTTTGAAATACAAAATGAAGTTTACCAATTTGAGCATTCAAGTGATCAAAATTGAAATCACAACCAATAAATGATCACAATAAACAAAAATTTTCAATAGGACATAAAACTGATCATACCTGACCACGATAATTCCTGAGATTAATATCGACCCCAGACTCGATCAAAAGCGAAACTATCTAAAGATATAAAAAATCACTATCATCAGAACAATAGAAAGCAAACATGTAATTCAGAAAAAGGAACTATCTTCAACAATTGCATACCTCATGGTGACCCTGAGCTGCAGAATAATGAAGAGGTGAATTTCTAACACCGAAAGTTGAATACCTCACCAGCCTTGGGTTGTATTCCAACAAGGCTTTGGCTTCTTGAAGATCACCATCTCTTGCAGCCGAAACTAGGCGCTCCCCAGAAGCCGAACACCCAAACGAATTACCCACAATGCTTAAAAACTTCATCTTTTTCCCCTAAGAAAGGCCCTGAATACTTATAAATGGAACAGTACAAAGGACTTCTGATCCTTCAAAACCTTCAAGCAATCCTAGGAATGATGCAAAGATAATGTAAAGAACAAGACAGTAGTCTTATTGTGTGCATAAAATTCTTCATATCTACCAAACGAGTAACAACCTTGAACAAAACAAAGTCTTGCTCACATAATTTCATAACAATTGGTTGTAACTGTAAGATTCTCAATGGCTTTGATGCTTATTGAGAGAGAGACAAAGAGGGATACTCCTGTTAATTCTTTACAAATAAATCAAAAGAATTTCAACTACTCCCTCTTTACCCTTCCATTAAAAAACAAAACTTAATCTGAATGCGACTGTTTTCTGCCTTTTTACATATTAATTAAAGATCTCGTCAACTTCAAGAAACCAAACAAGCATCCATCAAAGAACCCAATTAAAAGATCCTATTCAATTCTTTCACCAAACAATCAAAAATTTCCCAACTTTCCCTCAAAAACAAAATCCTCAACACACCCAAACCTCCATAACCCAAATCAATTCCTTCATTAAACAATCAAACCAACCAATACCTAGTTCCAAACTCTCATTCAATAATCAAAATCTCCAATACCCAGATGCAGAAATCAAATCCCTTCAAGAGCCAAAAACTCCAATACCCACTTGCCAATTTTAACCAAAGAATCAAAATTTACAAGCTAAAAAAGAGGCGTACTGGATGACATTGCAAAAGAACACCAATCTAAAAATGAAAGAAATGAAACTAAAAACTTGCGAAATATAAGGGGGAAGTTAAGGTGAAAAAAAATAAATGAAAAATAAAGATAAAAATGGATAATAAGTTATTTAAGACGGCAACCTTTATACAGTAAACTCAACTAACAAATGTGAAAACAATTGTAAGAAAAACAGCTTGTGTCTTCATCATTACCATTGGATATAATTAGGCTTTTCTTAAGTCAACTTTTGGTAGTTGCCATGTTCTTGTCTTTGGAGGGAAATTCATAATTCTTATAAGAGGATTTAATTTAATCACTGTTAAATTAAATTAATTTAATTTGCCCTATAGAGACGTTTCGTCTGAAGGTCGAAACTGTAAATTCAATTATATTTGAGAAATCGTTTTTTTTATTTGTCCCATCTTCCTAAAATTAAACATGTGTTTCGTGAAGTCGGATTTTGTGTTGGAGAATTTGTTTTACCTTAAATGGAGCGTGTTATAAGATTAATATAAACGTAGAATTTTTCACTCAATCTTATATTCACTTTATACATATAAAAAAATTGTATAAAATGACGCGTTTTGTGATATACCTTTTTATTTTATTTACATTATGAATATTACTTTATATTCACTATATACGTATCAAAAAATTTGTATAAAATGACGCGTTTTGTGATATTCCTTTTTATTTTATTTAAATTATGAATATTAGATGGTTGATTTCAAAATTAAATTAGAGAGTGCAGTGGTTTATTCTAAAATATAATAATTACCAAAAAGTTAATATTAAGATAACATATTAACATGTGAAGGATATAATGGCAATCTAAAAAGCAGAAAAGCACTTGGATTTAAAGTGCTTTAGCCATGCATTGCACCCACTAGTATTTTAAACAATATTATTGCCAAGTGTTGGGGATGTTTTGTAATGTTTTTTAACATTGGGGTTTTCCCAAAATAAAAAACTGATTTTACTAATTTCAGAATTTAGGGTGGTGGAAAAAGGTACCCTTATATTGTAATACAAAACAAATCATTAATATAGATTATTAACTTTTAGCTACATTTAAACCCTATATTATAAAATAAAACCAAGATATTGAATCTTATAAAAAGATAAGATTGGTAGAGATGGTAAGAAATACAACTTTTTTTTCTAAATCTTGTTATTTTATTTATAAAAAGAAAGAAATATATTTTTCAGCGTTTTGAAATTAAACACCCAATTTTGGGGATAAATTTTGTATATATAAAATAAAATACCAAATTATTTTATTATTTTTTAATAACTAAAATTTCCTTTCACTTTTACCATTTTTTTCACCATGTATCTAATCAGTTTACACGCACCTCGACTAATCCTCAGGAAAGACTAGTGCAATAACCCACTATCACGGTCCTCCAGCTAATATCAGATGCTCATATGGGAATCGAACTGAGATCATACATCTATCCACTTTATTCCCAATTTGTCCTAACTATTTAGGCTACCCCACGATGAGTCCTAATTTTTACCCTAAAATTAAAGAAACCGTTTCATTTTTAATATACAATTGGCCTTTCCTACTTTTATCAAATATTGTAAGATTTGATTTTTGAAAAAATAAAAAATATTTAGGACCTCCCTTGTCCCTAATGACTATGTTAAAAAACAAACTATGATAATTTTCAATGATAAAGAATGAATTTTTTTTTTTCTCTTTTTAAATAAAACAAAAGGTAAAGAGAGTTATCAAATTCCTTCTAAGAAAAACATTTTTTTTTCTAAAATAATATTAAACAATTAATTATTGATTTTCATTCAATTTCTATAAAATAATTCATTTACTCAACCAATATTCAACGCTTATATATTAGTTGAATAATGCATGTGTGAGAGCACCAAAGCATAAAAATATCGCCGCCCATGAATAATTAAATAATTAATTATGAAAAACTTAAATTACTATCGATCCAGCATGTTAACGAAGGATGATTAGGTACAAAATGTTTTGCTACTTGCCTCAAGTGGGCCGTTTGGAATCTATTCCTTTTCCATGTTTTAGGGCAATGGATCAACCACGCAATATTATATTAATTACATTTACTTCTAATTGTAATTAATTAATTACTTTTTCTTTAATAAAGCTCTGAGGGTGCATTTGATATGTTTTTTTTATGAATTTATTTTCATTTAAAGGGCATTTAAACAAACAAAACACTTCTATTAACTATTTTAAAAACATTTATTAATGATAAAAGTACCTAAAATTTAGTAAAATAACCATCATTAGTGGTTTGACGGTCAACAAACTCTTGAGTATATTACTCAAAAGGTCATGAGTTCGATCTACTTATTACTAATAGGGATGGTCACTGAAGGAATTATCCGATTTGTCAACTTCAGATTTTAAAAGATTAATTGAGATATCCATAAACTGGTCAGACACCCGTCAACCAAAAAAAATAAAAAATATGTAAAATCTCTTGGGCCAACTCATTTGACTTCTTATATCTTTATATTAAATAATAAGTGATGATATATTTTAATATCCAAAGCTGTCACAATCAATAATGCAGTCAGAAAGGGTTTAAAAACCCATTAAATTTACACCAAAATTTGTGCATACTCAATTGTAATATTTATGAAAAATACGTGGGTTAGAATAGTGAAATATTTTCTAAATAGTTTTTGAGTACTACATTAAAAGTCGTTTTCTTAATTTTCTTAACTCATAATTTAAAAATAGACAATTTTAGATATTAAATTTTAAGATACGACTAAATGTTCAATTTTCCCTTTAGTTTTTTTTTTTTTAAAAAAAAGATCCCGAATTAATAACCCTCACCAGTTACTACTCAATAAACAAAGTAGGGAGAGAAAGAGATTTCGTATAATAATAAACTTCTATAAAAAAAAAAAAAAACATATAAAATACCTCAATCACGTATAGCAATAAGTTACTATTATCTAATCCAATCCACTTATTAGATTGAATTAAAACTTGTAAAATGAATCAACATTACATCACATGTTGAATTAGTAAACGCCCTTATTTTAAATTGATGTTAATTTATTATTATTGTCAATTCATAATGAGCCAAGTCTAAACACCATTTGCTTAACTTTATCGTCTTAATTTTTTTATGCTAATTATTGGACTGCAAGTGAGATATTTGTCCTTTTCTTTAAATAAATATTTTTTCTTTCTTTTTATCTTTTCTATTTTGCCTAAATTGACAATAAATTCCGGCCCTAAAAAATAGCCACAAAAGAACAAATATTTAGGGCTCAATGAAATTGGTATAATAAAATAAAGAAGAATTTGTGAGTGCCAAGTGGGATGTTAGTGGTCGGCACATCAATGCAACAATATATTATTCAACAATTATCACTATTTTCCAATCATGTTATAGCCTTTGCCCACTTTTTATATGAATCCCACTTGGACAAATTGGGTTGAGATACCCAAAAAAAAAATAATTAATATATTAGTATTTTATCTATAAAATTATCAAAATTTATACATATAAATAATGTTATACATATTACAAACTCTCTATAACTACAAATTGATGTGGTGTGATATGATTGGAAGTAAAAATTAAATAAAAATAAAACAAATTAATGTTGACACCGTAGAAATCTTGTATTACCACATATCAGTTTGAATGAATTAGTTTATATATATATATATATATATATTGCTTTCCTCCTTATTTTTTTATCAATTTTTTATGTATTGAGCTGAAAGAAACTTCTTACAAGCAAGGTTTCTAAAATGGACATACATTTGGCACTGAGATTGGCCCAAGAAAGCCCATCATATGATAGAGTAGAACATGTATTGGCTGAAAGGCCCAATGCTGGCCTAATGGACTCAGCCCATATTAATAGGTTTTATTTATTCTAGGCTCCATCAGCTCACTGGGCTGATGGCTCACCCCTCGCCAATGTAAAAAAGAGTAATCTTATCTAAGCCTTCTTTCATATATGCTTATTATGTACCATTCGATTAAAAAATGATTTGAGTGATTAATACTATTGTATGGTAACCACCACTAGGTGGCTCAAAGATTATAAACTCTTAGATGTATTACTCAAGGTTATGAATTTAATATACTGGATTGTTAATAGAGTGGCTATTGAGAGTACCTGATTGTCAACTTTAGGACTCTAGAATTAGTTGAAGTATACGCGAGTTGGCTCGACACCTCTGGTCACAAAAAAAAAAAAAAAACTATTGAATGTCCATTTCAAGAAAACAAAAATGGAAGACAATATCAAACCTACTTTTAGAAAAATGTGAATGAGATTGCTATCTTATAATTGTTATAGATAATTATACTTATTTATTATTGTTATCAATTTAAAGGTCCCCCAATTAGAAATGGGTTCCACTTCCACCAATAGTAAATGTCCAATTTGTCGTAGAGCATTTTGGATGGAACCTAAAAAAATAATACTCAAACTCTAATTATGCTCGAGAACACAGTTTTTTGTTGTCATTCTATGTGATTTTGTTTTATCTATTGTGTAGAGCCCCAATTCATATGAATTTAAATTTAATAATATATTGAAAGTAATTGTGATTTCCAAACAGATATTTCGATAATCTGTAACAATTTTGGTACCAAATAATGTAATAAAATATATAATGTTGACATTCATATATTGTTTATTTTAATATATGAAAATATTATCATATATCATTTCATATTCAAAAAAATATAGTAATTTTTTGTTACTATTTTCCCCTGATTTTAATACATCTATATTCAAGCTACAATAGTAAATTAAAAGAGAAAAATCATTACTATGATTTATATAAATAGATATTTCAGAAGAGAAGTGTGCTCATTAAAATGTTTTAAATAATTTTTTAGATTATTTATTAAAGGTCTTCTATTTATAGTGAGAAGAATTTTTTAAGACTAATCATTGATGCCACCATTTATAAAACTAATGTATATAACATTTTTACATGACACAAAATTACGATCAATTCATGTACATTAGGTGAAAGATTAAATTCACAAATGTTTATAAGTTTTTAAGACACTTCATAAAAGACGTTTTCATCTTTTTTTGTTAACCGAGGTGTTTGGGT